TACACCCATATATATATATATATAATTTTTTTTTTTTTAATTTGCAGTCATTTTCAGGAGAAAGTTTATAGCATATGCCAAGCAAAACAAATATATATATATATATGTCGTACATCTCTGTAAGGCTGGAACTAACGATTATTTTCTATATCGATTAGTTGGCAGATGTATTTTTTCGATTAAGCGGGTAAAAAAAATACCATATTTTTATTTCAAATAAAATACACAAATGGAGTGTTACACACAAAGTTTACGTCAGAATAAAACTGCAAGCATTATTTGTTGCAATTGCACCACACTGGAACACACTGCATTGCAATACCGTGTGCTCCAGGCGGGAGGTGTGTTTGGAGTGCCATTGAAATGAATGGTAAAGCAACGCAGCAGAATTTGTCAGGGCAAAACCAAAAAAAAACTTTTTTTTTTTTATAATTGTATGTATTATATTGGACATTTTAATTAGTTTTATGGATTTAAAATCTGAATTAAAAAAACTCCAAGCCAATATAATAAAATAACCAAACTATAATTTATAATATCACACTAAAATTGGACACGCAGCAATACCTGACGTGTAGCGCAATTGCTGGTTTCATACGTAGGTGCACCCTACTTGCGTTTCCGTTAGTATGCACGCTTTTGTGGGGGCAGGGAACTTTACTTTTTGGGGGGGTATTTTTTTCCTTTTTACTCCATTGCTATCACATGGGAGGCGGCTCAGAAACTTTAGCTGGGGAATACCAGCTGCCTGCTAAGGCAGCTGAATGTAAGCACAGCAGGCAGTGGGTGGGTGCAATAGCCAGCCTCCTATTGGTGATTTCAAATTGCAATAGCAGGCTGGCTATTGCACCCTCCTTCAGTTTTCTTCAGGTCCGCTCTTCTGCTAATTGACAGCTGGCAGTGGGCGGGTGCAATAGCCAGCCTACTATTGGCTACTGCAATTTGAATTCGCCAGTAGCAGGCTGGCTATTGCATGCAGCCACTGGCTTGGAGACTTGCCGCCGGCTGTTAATCATAAGAGGGGCGGGGGGAATGCAGTCACAGCAGCTGACAGCCGGTCTCTCCTCCTGCTGGGCACCAGCTGCAGCGGTCTGTGTCCCCTCCGATCCCTGCTGCCTCTGCCGATACAGGCGGGGAGAGCACACAGACCGCAGCATGCAGCAGGGTGGGGGAACAGAGCTATACAGTGGCAAGGGCTGGTGGGGTGAATTGAGGTTTGGAGCTCTCCTCACCGCTGGGCTCCAGCTGCAGGGGTCTGTGTTCCCTCCAATCCCCTGGATGAAATCCACTTTATATATGGCTTTAGAGGAAGCTGAGAATTTAGTTTTAAGAAGAATGTGTTAGTCAGCAAGGATATTCTACTTTGACGTTTTTGTGTTCCTCCCTCTGAAAGCTGAGTAATGTATTTAGCTTTAGGGTAAGTTCACACCATAGGCAGTGCAATCCGGTCCGATTCTGACCGGAACGCACTGCATCGCATTTTTGCTGGACTGGAGGGGGCGTGGCAGGCCATTCAAGTGAATGACACCGTAGCCACGCCCTCTGGCCGCAATACAATGTGCCTTGCGATCTCGTGCGGGCGATCGGATTGCGGCTGGAGGGTGTGGCTATGGTGCCATTCACTTCAATGGCCCGCCACGCCCCCTACAGCCTGGCAAAAAAGTGAGGGCCGCAATGCGATGTAGTGCGTTCCGGTCAGAATCGGACCGTGACGCACTGCGTATGGTGTGAACTAACCCTTATGTAAAACAGTATTGTCACCCACACCTACCTGAGTTTTCTAAACATTAATAGTAAATTGCATTGACTTTTTTTGGAATGTATGTTGGAATACATACAGACTGTTATTTAACACACAAAGTACCTGTTTGATATTTCCTACCAGCCAGTAGTGATGACATGACTCTGACTAGTCCTAGCATGGACAACTCCAGTGCTGAGCTGCTGCTAGGAGGAGACTCTCCAATCAACAAGAGAGCCACAGAGAATCTTCTTGCAAGTTTATCCCAGAATGAGAGAGAAGCTATTCTTAGTGTCCCTGCTGCTCAAAATCCAGAAGACCTTAAAATGTTTGCAAGTTAAAGCTTATATAGATATATATATATATGGGAATTTATAGTATATACCATATTTTTATGTGTTCTGTTTTATAAGTAAAAATACATTAGAGTCTATTTATAAAAAATCACCGGACCATTCATCCTGCGCAAATATATGCCAAAACAAACATTTAGTTTTTTGGGTTTTTTTTCCTTCGCAAGTGAAATGATTTTCCAATGTAACATTGCATTGTAGCCACTAGATGGAGCTGAAGTAGAAAAGGCAAAAGATATTCATTTTCTGTGTTCATTAGCTCCATCTAGGGGCCATGATGAAATATTACATGAAAAATATGTGAAAATACATTTCCCTTGTTAAAGAAACAACTAAAGAACATTTGTTTTGGCATATATCTGCATGGAACAAACGTTCACAGATATTTGCAGGTTGATTGGCCCTGAAAATAGTTTAGAAATATTGTGTCTATCCCTGAGACATAACAGGAGAGACAGTCATACTGAATCATATTTAGTTTTTTGATAAAGATGCATAATTCAAACATGGGATTTAATTATCCAACATTGCAAATTTTTTTACTCCCAAAAATATAAAAATATTAAAAGCTGACCATCTTCCTACACAACCCAGCTTCCTTCTGCAGTAACATCTTACTTCCACTTTGTTTACCAACTTTCCCTTCTATATTTTTACATCTTGGGTATGTGAATACGGGCGACATCTTATCTTGACCAAGAATGAGCCAGTATTTGCATACCACATTCCTCATCTCTCCTGAACATTCCCTGTTTTAGTAACACTGAACTTTTGCCTGGATCTCACCACCTGCTGAATGTAAGTGAATGAAATACCAGCTCAGCATACAGAAAATGAATGTATATGTGTTTTATGTTTTTCTAGGCTGCTACACTATTTCCGAGGCCGGCACCATCTTGAGGAGATCATGTACAATGAGAACATGCGCCGCTCACAACTCTTGATGCTCTTTGATAAATTCCGGAGTGTGCTAGTGGTGACAAACCATGAAGATCCAGTTATATCTGTTTTTCAGTCGGTCTTTCCTTAATCGGTGTGCTAGAAACAGACTTTTCTTTTTTTTCTTTTTTTTTTAAACTTTTGTATATATTTTAATTTTTGGCCATATTGGTGGAAAAAAAAGCCTCTCTAGCTTTACATATTTATATGTCTAATAGGCAGTCACTTCATTATCTAAAGGAAACCTGTCACAAGGGAAGCCTGAAAGCCACAGTTTGCTAACTCCTCTTTAAAAAGTTAGTTATTAACTTTACTCTTATGTTACTGATCTGCTTGTGTCTGCTGCACAAAGTGTTAAAGATTGCAGGCCAACAAAGTGTCCAGGCAACTAGCATTATCAGGAGACCAGTTCATAAAGAATAATCTCTCTACAGTTTTTGCAGTCTTGAAGGCCATACACTATATGAATGCTGGCTGAGTTCTATGAATCGGTAGAAAATTCTAACCATGGGTGGCCTTGCCGATACCACCTGGCTCAACTTTGATTGAGAAACCAAAGGAGGTGGTTGGAAAATTGTTGGCTGAGTAGTGAGTGCAGCCAATTAGCTGCAGTCACTGTTTGGGTATTCTGACATCCATGGGTGCAGGCTGGCAGAATACACTAGCCGGCAGGGGAGATTCCCCCATCCATGCTGTTTAGGGGAAATTGATCAGTTTATACTCTTTCAGCCTGTGGAAAAAAGGTCAGCAGTAGCAGCTCTTGTATTTTTTCCATTACAGGTTTGTTCATTTTTTTTTTTCTTTGCCAAAGATTGCTTAAAAAATATGCTCCAGCGTTGATGTAATTGGTTCACCTTCATGTAATTACAATAAATCAGGTTTTAAAGTGGCTTTCATTATTTTATTTTTTTTCATTCTGACATTTGCAAGCAGGAGAACTGCAAAGCTTGGTGTTGACCAATGGAAGGGCATATGAATGAAGAAACTGCATTTTAGGTGTAGCTAAAGCC